ATAGATTTTGATTAAGCATATAGAGATATACTTATGGACTTTTGTAAAATTATCTTAAAATGCAGACACGAACAAGCTTCGCAATTCAGTATTTGTCGTTTGCCATCGTATGTTCATCATCGTTACCGGAAACGAGCGGCGATCTCGCGTGCCAACAATTCCGGGTATGGTTCGGCGATCATAGCGGCAGGTGTCACGTCATTATCAGCCACGTGAGAGACATACAATTGGCGCTCCGGTTATAAATTATTTAGGCAACGCAGTTGCCTACCAGAAAATTAAGCGTTAATGATCTTTGTTGTTAATGATCCGCGTTGTGGATCAACAATATGTAACATGAGTACCAAAATGTTTGCTTTATGAATTATGACGAATATATAAAAGCATTTCGACTTTTGACAAGTTTTGCGCCGATTGTACGCAGAGTAATTAGAAACATTCAAAATTACTAATTTCGAGATAGTTTTTCAGATCACTACGTGATATCCTAAAAATATATTAGTGTGATACAATATTTTAAATATTTTAAAGATCTTTTCCCATGCACTTTAGTAAAATTATTCAAATTTATTTTATACTTTATTGTAATTTTATTAATAAATGAGAGAAATTTAAATCTTCGAAATATAATGTTATTTCAAAGTAAACTCTAAGAAAAAATTCTCTCCGTGTAGTAGCATGCAATGCTTAATAGCTATTCTCGGAAATATTTGTTAACACTGTCTATTATCTAATAAAAAGAACGTTATTTTATATTATTTTTCGCCAAAGAAAATAATTTTTAGAAAAATGATAGAAGTGTCATATAATATGTTTAATATACATATGAATTTTGAAAGTGAGAATTTTATGTTTAATCTTTGACTGAATTTTTTTTTAACATTAAAATTACATGGATATTACACGAATTTATCCACTGTAATAAATATCGTTGATAAATTGGATTATTTTCATGATTTGAAAACAATCATCTGCATTTGTCCATTCTGCAGTAATCACAAAAAACGGAAGCATACTGCGTGAAAAGTGGAGCAAGCTGCACGTCCGACGCCTCCGTGACATTAATTATCCACTTTAATTCGTATGTCGAAATCACATGCAAATTTTATGCGAGCAGATTCAACTACGAGTTCTCGTCCGGCACGTCTTCGCGGACTCAGTTGATTTCAGCATTTAAGGATGCATATATTAGATATTTCTAATAATTACCAAAAATATAAAAATTTCATTTTCAGATTGTTCTATTATTCTACGTTTAAGTGTCTATGTAAAATTTAAACACAATTTTTTTCTTGGTTTAAAAATTATTTAATTTTTAATTTTTTGTTTGCCTTAATTCTTATAAAGTTAAGATCTTAAAATCACATTGTATAAAACTTAATTGCAAATTTAAGGAAGCATTTAGATAATAGAGAAAGTATTATAAATTAAATTTTTTATCCATACTAATAAGTTTATTTAGAATAGAATAGGAAATGCATTATTATCTTATCCTATAGGATAAAATAGGAAATGCGTTATTATAAATAGAAGCGGCAATGTATACATAGATAAGGTTAAAAAGGTGGAATCACATGATGCTTGATTTCTTAAATGATAACATATTATATATACAGTCAAGTTTGTTCTGATGTATGTTAAAATTCATTCATGAATTGAACGTTGCTTGCTGTATATACATGACTTTAATATTTATTATTTCATAGCTTACTTCATAGCTTACTTCATAGCTTATTTCCTTGCACCAATCAAAAGAAACAATTGCTAATTTCATATTTATTGTCACACGTCAAACTGTATGCATCAAAGCAAGCATACACGGAGAGAATTATCTTTTAAAATTTACCTTAAAAATATAGTAGTGTGATAAATATTTTAAAGATTTTTTCATGCACTTTAGTAAAATTAATCAAACTTATTTTATACTTTATTGTAGTTTTATTAATGAATGAGAGAGATTAAAATTCCTCGATATACAATGTTATTTCAGGATAAACTCTAAGAAAAAATTCTCTCCGTGTAGTAGCATGCATGCTTATCATTCAAGAAATCGAGTGATTCCATCTTTAGAATAGATTAGAAGTGTAGTTCTATTTTTGTCTTATTTTTTGTATTTTCTTTATCTGTTTGTAATGCAAAAATATGTCTGGAATAATATCATTATTGTGGCTGTATGTTAATAACTTTGAGGAGAAGCAGTAGAATAAACCATCCCATACTAAGTTTTTATCTACTTACTCGTTTAAAAGTTATTTATCTAAAATTGCAGCAAAATGTGCTCATTGCGCTGAATATACCAAATTATTTTGTTTTTTTCGCAATTGGATTCAAGACATATTCACGACTTGAATCAAATTTTTTTGTTGCTTTGACTTATATTGACTTCTTTGGCTAATTCTTTTAAATAGTTATACAGATAAAACATTTTTAAATGCAGCAGTACTTATGTTACAATAGCGTACGTACGTCGCTATTACCTCACGAATTCAGAATTTCTCATTTACGTATTTGTTTGTACAAGGTGTACTTCTTATTGCACGATTACATACGTAAAAGTATTAGTGACAGAAGAGATTAACACGGAAAAAATATTTTGCTTTCATCATATAATCAAATTAGAAATACGTGTAATAAGCTCTTTTAAAAAGCATACAGAGCAATAGTAAAGTAAGAATAGCCAAGAACACGCAACTTATCAATTAGATTTCGCTGAGGTAGAGCAGAGGTTCGGAGTGACTAGACGAATGGACGGATGAACTGGGACAAGTGGAAGAAGGGCAAATATTAAAACAAAAACTTGGTTTGATAAATTTATTGATAATTTTTATGGATTCGACAAAAACATCAAATTTGTTGAATGTTTATTATGTCCTTTTAATAATTATTTATTTGTAGGAAGATAATCGCAATAATCACCTTCGTTTCTCTCCACGCTCGTCGCTTTATCTAACACACCTGTATTTTAAATTAATCGAAACCCGGCTTGCCACTTGCCCCAGTCTACTCCGCTTAAATTGATTTAGTGGAGTTGTCGTATCCGGGCAGAAGCGTGAGGACACTTTTGCAAATGAGCTTCGCGTAACACCACCGATTCGTCTCGAATAAATGCAGAAAGTGAGGAAAAAAGCAATGTATAGATGAGGAGAGCAATGGAAAGAAAAAGAAATAGAATGAAAAGAAGACAGAAAGAGGACAGTCACTTATGGAAACTTATGACAAAAATTCGGTCACTCGCACTACACTGGTATATTAAAGGCTGCTTCATATAAAGTATCTAAATGCAATATAATTAACTCTGACAATGAAATAATATATGTGTACTCTATTAAATGATAACAAAGTCATTTTTGAGCATTTAATCGTTTAAAATATTCATATATTTTTGCGTTTAACTTTATCAATTTCATAAATAGCAGCTTTTAGTATCCACTAATCTAATATAATACAAGGTTAACAAGATAATATTTTTTTAAAGAACAAAACATTATGTTTTTTCCAAACATACTTTTAATGCTTCACACACGCTTTAAACAAGTATTACAAAAAAACATGTTTAAAACATGTTAAAAACGTTTATTAAGTTTGTTTTAAATAATTTTGTTAAACATGTTTAAAACATGCTTTTTACCAACCCTGGTGTAATGCAAGTTACCGAATCCGCTATAAGTCACAGTAATCGCTCGAGAAAAATTCATCTTGCAGTTTCTTGTGTGACGGAAGAAAGGGAAAGGAAAAGAAACGGAAAAGGAGTAGAGACGGTGAGGGAGCAGAGATGAAAAAGGAGAAAAAGACGGAAGTAGGGGAGGGAACGGAGAGGGGGAGGGGGTCGACGTAAATAAAGGCGGCCGAATCTCGTTTCGACGAACCGCTATTTTGCTCGCAAAGGATCGGAGGGGGAAGGGGGAGGGGGGGGGGATATGCTGCAACCAGCGGCATTCATAAAGAAGCTACTTGAAGGCTGTCTGTTCTAAATTCGAGACGATGACAGACAGACGGACGAACGGACGGACAGAGACTTCACGCGCGACTCGACTTCGGAATTTCGCTCTGAAACGTCTGTTGCGCCACTACAACATCGCTACGCAAAAGTCGGCACTAAATCAGGAACGCAGAGCCGTTGTCTCTACGCGAGCTCTGGTCCACGTGACAATGATTGCGATCAAACACACTTAGATGGGAATCGTATCGCACGCGAGCAAATATACGTTAAGCAAATTGTATCACAAATTTACTTTTCTTAAATTTCCATTTGTCAGCACAACAAATTCTCCACAGATGGTCTTTCAACCATCATGTAAGCAGCTCTAATTATTCTGGGAGCTTACTAAAAAGCACTTTACTTTCAGAAGTCTTATTTATAATTAAATTTATCCCTCTTCTGCAGACGGCTCGAACAAGTAGCCGAAACATGTCAACAGTTTGGATTTATGAGATTAGGTTTGAATAAAACAGCTCTATATAATTATTGATAGAATATAAATTAATTTACGCAACAAGTTCTGTATGCTCTATGTAATTATTGATAGAATATATAAATTATAATAAATTATAATAAATTAATTTACGCAACAAGTTCTGTAGTTGACTCTTCAGTATCCTGTCATTTTATATAATTTTAAAAAATTTAGTTATTTTTTTTTTTATTATATTAAGTCTCGTTTCTTGTTCTGCTTTTAGTTCTCTCGAGTTTTAATTATTCTCGAGGAAATATTCTCAGCTTTCATTCTCTGTAGCCTATATCGATGAAAACAAAGAGAGTCCCGCGAATTCGGAAGTAGCTCGAGAATCCACGCGGCATCAATGCGCGCGCGCGCGATGCAACAGACGACAGAGGATTCAAGACACGAGGAGGAGAAGGGGAGAAGGAGAAGAAAGAGAAGAAGAGAGACAGGCGAGCGGAAAGAAAGAAAAAAAAATGAGAAACATGAGAGTGAGAAAGAAGATATGAGAGCAAAGCTCGGAAAGAGAAAGGAGAACGGAAGGGGGAAGAAGGTTGGCAAGCGGCACATTAGCGACAACAAAGACTTGAAGAGCGAGAGTCATTGAGGTTACCTGCGACATCATTGACGGGTACATCGGCAATCAGGTTGACTCTTTGTCGCGACTGTTGTTGTTGTTGTTGTTGTTGTTGTTGTTGTTGTTGTTGATGTACTTGATGCAGGTTGCCTTGTTGTTGAGATCCCAAGGGCAGACTACCGGCACTCGTAGCGGTACTCTCTGTCAGGATCACCGTTGGCACCGTGGCGGCAACGGCGGTAGCGGCGGCGACGGATGCGGTAGCGGAGGAGGAGGACGAAGACGACGTGGATGATTCCGCGAGGGAACCCGCCGTCGTCACGATGCCGGCATTGTTGTCGAAAACTGTCGCGGGGTTCTCACCCTCGCCCTCCCCTGTCCTCGCAGCCATTCCGGGCCTCGCGTGTCCCGGCGGATAGACGGACAGATAGACAAACGGACAGACAGGATTCCCTCCACTTCTTTTACACGTTGTTCCCGTGAGCGCACGCACTTCTCCTAGGAAGAACACCTACACTCTTTTACGTACTCCCTTTTGCGCTCTCTTTCTCTCTCACTCTCACTCTCTTTCGTTCTTTCTTTCTCTTTCTCTCTTCGCGGTAACGTGCGCTCCGTTTCCTCTTTTTCCACGCTCTTTCTCTCTCTCTCTCTCTCTCTCTCACTCACTCACTCACTCACTCACTCTTTCCCGCCCTCTCCCGCCGACGTCTCGTACACTCGCTTTCGCTCTCGTGCGCTCTTCTATCATACTCTCTCACTCTCACGCCTCTGCCACTCTTCTCGTACACTCGCTTTCACTCTCGCGCACGCTCACGAGTTGTCTCCCTCCCTCCCTTCCTCTCTCTCTCTCTCTCTCTCTCTCTCTCTCTCTCTCTCTCTCTCTCTTCTTTCACGACTACACACTGGTCAGAGCGCAGTGTCCGAGACGTACCGAAACTGCACCACCGCACCGCCACGGTTCACTCGCTCACTCGTTCCCGGTCGCTCTCTCTGTCTTTGTCTACTTA